TAAATGACAGATGGCCATTGGGTCCATCATGATGACATGACAAATTTGTCCTAAATGGACAAAACCATTGGGGAATATAGTAAAACATATATCACGGATATGTGTTTGATAATGAGTCACTGCTCAATGAAGTAATAATGAATAATAAGTCCCATCCATACTTTATTACCGCTTCTATTTCAGCTGCCACCTCAACTGCATTAGCATAAGGTCTGTCATGAAGAAATGATGTTTGTTTATAATATTGACTTCAATGTTCAAAACATTACAGGTGCTAATATTATCGTAAATTAACAAAATTTGATTTCTCAACAATCTATTGGTTATCACTGGTTTTCAAGGAAATAATCTCAAGATTTTCCATAAACAGAAAGGTAATATTTTCGGCATATATTGTGGGAAAAAATAGAAATTTGGTCTAGCAGAATTAATTATAAGAAGTGAAATTGTCTTCAATCCAAACAATTTTTGAACATTTATGAAAGCCTCCGAGATGATCGCAAATTAAAATACAAGTTTATTTAATCAATTCAATAAAATATAAAACGTTCGATGCGGTAATTCCTGTGTCCCTTTTGATAAATATCCTTTAGTCGTATCATGGAGCCAGAGGTAGTTTTTTCCCGTGAATTTCAAGCTGCAATCGGAGTTTAAAAGAGTATTTTTTAAATATTCAAATTCAGACCTGTCATACTTTTTGGCCTGTATGAAGTATTTCTATGTTATAGATTTTGTGCGACGTATAGTAACTATCAAACGAATTAATTATTTTACGAGCTGCTGGAGAAGCAATAATATTCGTCAAATTTGACTAATCGTAAAAATCCAATATTTTTAGGGCATCCAACAAAATAAAACCCAATTTTATTAGGATGACACTCTAACCGGTATTCAAGAGAAAAGAAAAGGAAATTGATCGAAGTACGCAGAAATTTTTCACTGTAATCGTTCAAGAAATGAATAGTAGGACTTCAACTCTAAAACTGTTACAATTGGACGTTAATTGTGACATGAATTCTGGTTACCGCATTGACGCGTCGACGACTCGTCGTTTGAATATAACTGCGATGTGTGACCATCGTTTGGCCATAATTCTGCCTCGCACTAGCGTTTGAGTTTAACGATCATATAGTCGTGTATCGGCTTTGCAATTACCGCCAATCAGTTGTACAAGGTGTCGAGAGAGAGATTAACATGCGATATCAAGCAATTTACAGAATCTTATTACAATAATGGTGTCCTTATTTGTAGTTTTCTTGAAATGTTCAACTTTAGAGGGAAGTACGTCTTCTCCAGGCCTTGGCATTACTCAGTAGGATGAATTTTAACCGTCATTTTTGGATTGTTGGGTTTTTTTCTGTAGTACAACTTATATGCTATATTTTATAAATTCATTCAATTCCAAAACTAGTGATTGCGAATTATTGTTTCAATTATTGCTACAAACAAAGCGTTTTCTGTTCAAAATCACTTCATCTTAAGTAGGGCTGTTATTGATGATCCTCGGCGCCATGAAGCCCGCGCTGGGCAGGAGAGCCACTACCCGAGCTGGCTCGGACCAAAGCTGTACGATGGATGTTATGCCGACACGTAGCATGGGTGCTTCCAGCTCCGGGCACTCGAGCAGAAATTGTTTGACGGTGTTGGGCATTAAATGACATGGGGGCATAGGTGTGAGTGAATGTGGTCTAGGCTTGCTGGCGTATATATAGTGAAGGATGATGGCCAGAGCGGAGTCAGCAGAGATGCAGACTCCACTTAATTACGTATATCCACCATAATATAGCATACTTGAAGGACACTTCAGTTGGGTAAGTATCCTTGATGGTTTTTTTCAATACTTTCTCGTTGTTATTTCTAGAGCGGACGCAAGAGGCCTTCAAATTGTCAAAATGCCAAAGTTTCTCTTTCGCTCTTCTCTTGATTTATGTGAGGCCCCTGAAGCTTCATCGTGTATCTGGTGAGATCCAAAAGAATTGTTACAAGGCAGAAGCCCGTAATTGTGGCGATTGGATTGCAACACATGTAAGAAATGCGACTCGCTGAGACTGCAACCGAGGTCTATATGAGCAGCCTATCAATACTGCAGCCAACTCACTACACTTATACATTATTTATCACTCATAGCGCACGCGCCATGTGATCACATCTCCCCTGTTAGGCGTTTTTTTCACGTGTTTTGCCTTTCCTAGCAGCAAGCGTGTTAAAATTTTTACTATTATGAAAAAACGATTTAAATTTTTATATTCCATGATGCGTTATTGCTGCACTCTCGTATGCCACCAAGACGACTGCAGAATACATCATTGACTGCTTCTCTTTACGATATTATTAATAATGCTTAAACTTTAAAACATCGAAGCGTTTCAATTATTGTTGTTCTCATTGACATTGATCTATGATTTTTTTCAGGTCATAATTGACATCAAAATTTTCATATCAAGTCGCCGTAATTTTTTCCCAGAAATTGTATGACCTATGCCTTCTTCTTTTCATCGTTTACTGTTCATGATAATAAGATATTCACGAAATAACATTATGACCAATTTGTTAACAAAACTAGTGAGTATAACGGTAGACTAAGAAATATCGCTTTAAGATGCCCATCTTTACGTGTAGGTACCTTAAGCTTTTATCACTCATGTTCCTAGAGTATTCTTTGATAAATGCCACTTAATAGCATTTACAAGTTAATTGCCCCCTAATGATCTTAGCAAATTTATCACTTTCATTCGAGTGTAACTATTAAAATATTTTTCCCCGAGCATTGAACTGATGTTGAAATTTCGTTGTCACGGACTTACTGATCACCCTATACGCTAATCCAGTGAGTAATTGAAGGTAGTTTTGCCCTTCGTCTTCCTTCAAATACTTAAAAATACAATGATTATTAATACTTTCACTCATCGCGTTTTGCTTACTTATGAGCAGAGCTGGGCAGCGCTACTGTGAAATGTAGCGGCCGCTACCGCTACCGCTACATGCTCTAAGTGTAGTGGGCGCTACAGCTACATGTAGCGCGCTACTGCTCACTAATTAGTGGGCGCGCTATACTGCCTTTTCTAATTTCAGCATTAGTTTAGCTTACGTACATGATGAATCAGCATATATTCTGCTCATATTAATATTCTTTAAATAGTTTTCAGCCATTTGCAGAATCTAACGCAAAAACGAAGAAGTCGGTTAAAGATATTTACATTTTACAAAATGTCGTATGTTTTTGCAAGTAAATACTGCGCACGTAGCCTCAGTAAAAGGTAAGTTAAAAGTTTTATTTCATTATTTATTGAAATTAGGCCTGGTCTAGACTCGGCTCATCCTAAGCATTTAGATTCTACGTGAAGACATCCACGGATAAAGACTGAAATTTCCATTGCTCTTTAGGCATAAAACTTGGGTCAATTCGGCAGCTAAAATCATCCTGAGTCTGGTTTGCTAAATGCCTAAAGCCCCTTTTACACACGACGGGAAATACCGCATGCGTCAAAAAACACGCAGCGGTATTTACCGCACAATCATTCAGAAGAGGCGGCTTTTTACGCTTGACTCTATCAGTATTGCATAGTGCTGTTCTCCGAAAGTGGTAAAGAGTTTTAGTGAGCTCTATATAAATGGCTGCTCTAAGAAAAGAAAAGAAGGCTCTCCTGTTGTACTTACTGCATAAAGACAGCAAAGGAGGAAAATAAGGCGGTGCTGGGTTCACCATGTAGTACATTTAAGACCCTTAGAAGAAGAGTTTACCACACTATTTGGAAAATTAAGAGGAGGTGAAGCCAATTTTTTAAATTATTTCCGTATGTTGCAGAAAGATTCCACGAATTGTTGTCTGTACCAGACTAGGATGTATGTCAAAAACCGCTGCGTCAAAAGCCGCACTGTGTGAAAGATTACATTGACAACCATTGCAAGGTAAACTGTTGCGGCAAATGCGGCAACAGTTTTGGAAGAACACACGCAGGCAGCATGCGTCAAATTTGACGCTGCGTTAAAAGTCGTCGTGTGTGAATAGCAGTAAAGATTACGTATGTCCGCTGAGGTTCGACGTGAAATACCGCTGCGTGTTGTTGCCGCGTGCGGTATTTCACGTCCTGTGTGAAAGGTGCTTAGTTATTGCACATTTTACCGCATAACTCAAGGCGGTTTCTAACAGCAATGCATTCCATGCCATATGCGTTGACAACTTGACAATTTCCATTGTGACCCAGCTTCATATGTTCCTTCGTGGATTAAAATTCGTGCTAGATAATAATCAATTATAACGGGAAGTCATCGATATGGATAGTCAGTAAGCACATATATGTGAATATTTTTTTTCTATTCTTAATTTACTGTTTTTTGTTGGCTAAGCGATGTTGCATTGCAATGTTTGTTGAACCATTTGGCGCTGATTATCGACAAATACTTACTTTTTAAATTATTAACTTGTAGCAATTCAGAGCAGTCATACATAAGATCTCACACAAGAAAACTTGTAGATTTTTATTTCTGTGTCTTCATATTAGACACTTCCTATTTTTCACAATAGTGCAGCGTACTTCAAATTTTAACCCTAATTACATAACAAATGTGTTTTACCAAATCGATTTAAACTCGTGAATTTGTTGTCGCCATGTATTTTTATATTCTCATTTCTTCAGGATATTTTCATTTATCGTTTAATCTTCTACATGTGTTTGTCTCCTGTTGCCTTTTGAGTTAGATTTTGTACGTTTTTTCTTTGCCCTTTGAGTTAGATTTTGTGTAACTTATCTTCTGTTTTACTGCAAAACTTTTGACTCGCATTTCTCTACGGTTTTCTCAGATTAGTTCGCTGATTGTTCAGCAAAGACATATTATCGTGTTGTTCGTAAAATATTTGGTGCTCAGATGTAATCAACGCACCATTTACTGGACGATTGAGATTCCGTACAGCCAGCTTGTCGCTCACTTCAGGTGTCGCAAGGTACAGATTATACGTAGTAACCTGACGGTTGTTTCGAGATACTCTCATTGGGCGCTGCACTGCGGTAACATCGCGACGCTCCGTCCAGCTAGGTCCGCAGCATTTGTTCTTGATTGTTGTGGCCGCTGCTTTGACTCCCGTTGTTCTCATTGTTGGTAGATCACTAGTAATATACTCTGCAGCTCTGAGTTATTCAAATAGATCGCACGTCATCAATCGAAACACTCAGTCGCTATTCCAAAAGCCAAATCTATGAATCACTCTGACTAGTGTGTTTTTAGAAATTTCAGCATAATTGATTGAAATAATCAACTGCTTTATGGAGCGTCATTAAAACGGCATTTTCCTTCCAATAGTCAACGAAGCTAAGAAGTTTGCAGATTCGATTACCGTTGCGTTCATATATGTAAGTTCCACCAAGTGCAGGCTGAGCTTGCATTTAGCATCGGAACTTCTACCGCAACGCCAACCGCTCGCTACGTCCAGTAACTTGGTTCGTATAAATCTAGCTAAGATGTTTTGCTTCTCCTGCATTTTCTTTCAACTCATTGTTTATATTATTAAAACTCCATACCTGATCCTGAAATTTATTTCACTTCATAACTAGGAGGATTTTTGGTTATTATTTGAGAAAATCATGAATGCTTTAATTGTTAACCCTAGAGCAAGTGCTTGAATCTAATGGCATGTTTCATTTAGTCAAAATTATTCCTATATGATGAGCCGCATTTTAGCTATGATTTCTTAATTTTGAAACTCATGATAGCTCAGTAGGGTTAGATGTTTTAGAAACCTGCATATACGAAACAACTGTCAATTTTCACTTCAATATATATGATATGGCCTTGTGCATAAATCCACTCAACCACATTTTTCTTGATTACAATTCCTGGGCCTGCTTATTTTAAAATAAAAAATTGCCCAAATGATTCGATACCAACATAAGACTTCATCATTGTTGTGAAGTGCAATAATGAATCCGAGAAAATGACCGCATTACTCAATAAAGAACAGCAGAAAGCTTGTGAATGGTAAAATTTGCATATTGAGTTTTTTAAAACTTGTTTGTCAGCGTTCAGCTATCCAGTGCAAATCACATTCTCTTCAGAAGGAGAAAAAAAATAAAAGATATTGGAAAGTTAAGTGAAAAAATTGTTTTTAGATGCTTTCTTGGATAAGGTTTGGTGATTTCTCAGCTACTTCCAGCTTACTGCTGATTCTATCCCTGCCATCAAACGATGTAATAAAGATCTTTTAATTGTGGGGAGAATATTTTAAAGATTCCTGCAAAAAATTTCATGCAACCACTGTCGGATAGTGAATAAGAGCTAAAAGAAGAAAAAATACATAATTTTACTATGAATAGACTATAAAAGGAAAGAACAAAATAAATCAAAATGTGTAAATAAAGTTCCGAGATTCTTATTATATACCAACAAGAATTTGAATACCTTGCCAGATGCCAAGTTGTTAGTGAGAAACGAAATTGGCATTACAACTTGGACCAAACGATGGATCGATAGAAAATATTCCCGATTATTTTCAGCCTAATCTATAAATTCAGTATTATAAATAACATTTTTGTTGTATAAAACGATTTCATCGCTGCAATTCTCTCGATATATATTGAAGGAACATTTTAATATGCGATAGTTGGGACAGTTACTTCTTATGCAATAACCAAGACGATGTGGGCTGTACAGTGTACATGAGTTCCTTCTCAAGAATGTGACCAGTGCATGACAATAAAAAAGATCCCTGATAAATAAAATATTCCTTACTACCGCGATGAAACTACCGCGTACTACCTTACGATACTTTTACAAATACATTTCATTCATTTGTTTGATAGCTAGTTATTCAGATCTTTAGGAACTCTGAACGATCTTTTGATCTCAGTGAAACTGTTTATTTTGTAGAAAATCAAGCAATGAGAAGTCGGTTTGTTATTGCCTTAATGACAATGCCTAGTGGAATTTCTTGAAATTTAATAGTGACGGAGATGACCTTCAATAATTTGGTAATGAGTTATGTAATGAGCTAGGTCATAATTTCCTATACGTTACAACCCCGTTGTAGTGAATCTAACCTATACTGTTCTGAATGTCTTTTTAATGAATAAAGCAGACGCGTTCGCGATGTTGCCGGATTGACCTTGAAGTCCGGGTTAGTAGCCACTAAATAGCGTTATTCTGTTTGCGCCACCGCAGGGAACAGGATTTTAATGTGTACTTTATCACCGATGTTTTAAAGTAGGACCAGGGCTCTTGTCTTTTATATATTGATCTTGCAGTTAAGTGTGTGAAATTATAACTGTCCAAGTTTAGGTTTTAGGAATTCTTGTTAAGCTTTATTATGTGTTTATGGCTTGTCCAATTTGTAAACTTAGCCGTAGTATTTATCTCTCATACAGGGAGACCTTCGAAGCCTAGAATCGACTTCGATTCTTACACACTTGTTGTCATCTCCCGTGTTGAATGAAAACTATTCGGTCGTCTTTGTTTCCTTCGTGTGATGAACCGCGAGAAGCGTGTCGAAGCTGAAGGGTTATTGCGGAATAGGTTATGGTTTTGAACTACGCCTAGTCAATAAGAAGGGCCCCGTAACACCGTTAAAATTCTAGGACGAGACTGGCACCGATCCTGCCCGGTACAGCATCCATTTAGCCAAGACTATCGAAACAAGAACTGGCCAACTATCTCTATAACAGTGCTATGCCATTGCTAACTGAAATAAAAACTCAAACAGCTTATTTGGGTCAGAATGTAGCTCTATTATGGCGCTGCCATATGGGTTGCACAACAGATAACTTCGGGCTGAACAACTTATTCTGAACTTAGGCCGGGGCTCAGAAATAGGGAGGTGGATAAGAGCTGGAAAAAGGTGAGTAGTTTTCATACTTTATCTAGTTCAAGCGACATACAAATGATATTTTAGGTCCATTTCTGGTCCCGGTTATATGTTTAATAGCGTCGTTATTAATATTCTTTTAATTAATTACGGATTCAGATCCCTTTCCTTTTTCAACACACCCGCAATTAGAAACGTTTGCGCTCATGTGTGGAGTATCTATAAAGATAAATCCAGGAAGCTCCAGTGTTTATCCTTCTGTAAAATCTAATGTGTCCTGGAAAAATTTCTTAATCGAATGTAGAGAAATCATAGTTAACTTCACAATTAACCTCTTTAATCATATGATTAAAGAGGTTAATTTTCATTAAGAATCGACTAAAAGTTGTATAGCTTTAAAACTGCTGTAAAAATTAGCAATAATACTATTCAAAAAAGCTCATGTGATCAACTCAATCATGGAGCTGCGTGACACACGATTCGTTTTCATACTCTTGCGTTGATTTGTTTCGTCAATGAACATTTTTCTGGGGTTTTTCATTGACACTTTTCCAAGTGAATGAAAATACTGAGAAATAAACTGCAATATGGATTGATCTGCATTATTTGATTGCATTAAGGTAAAATATTTGTCAAACAATACAAAAGATATTGTGATAACCAAAGCTCGATTAAACGAAAAAGAATGGCATTTCGTTTGGATGACAATCCTAGATTCTACCTCAAGAAATTGCAAGGGAATTTATGTCTGCATCTATTCTTAAGCGAAATTTATCATATCATCTAGTTGTGTCGGAGCTGAAAAATAGGCCTGGTGCATCCTGTCGCCGATTCTTCTAATTTTCATGAGTTGTTCACAAAAGATCTAAAAACAGGTCATGCGGCCGGAGCTTTTAGCGCCTGACGTTAGTTTGAAATAGCTAATAAACTTCAACCAGGTTCGTATTGTGCAATTAAGGCATTTCAAGTCTAAACTTAAAGTTCTCAATAGCATTAACTAGTTTGTTCTTAAACGTTTTAATACTCAATGTCAACGATATCAATATATATAGAGAGCCTGTTCCATTATGTACGTGACTCGAAGCGAGATTAGTTGCAACGCAGTTTTTTTAGTTTATAGCCGTGGCCCCTGTTGTTGGATCTTGTTTAAAATTCTAGTAATCCTTCTGGGACCTAGTGTAAACCATGAGTATTTTTGCATACTTCAATGAGGTCACCACACAGACGTCGATAACAGAGGCTCGAAAGTTTTATAATCTTTAATCTTTCTTCAAAAGACTGGCTCTTCGAGCTTTGAATTATATTTTTTGCAGGTCTTTTAACATCATCTGAATTTTTGCCTTTCCAAGTTTTAGTGACCAAATGGGGTTTCCAAAATCTAGGATCGGGGGCACTACAGCGCTAAACAATAGCTTCATCGTTTCTGCATCTAGGAGCTCGTATGAGCGTCTGATCAGACCAAGAAGTTTGTTGGATTTATGAACTTGCGTTTCAATGTGTCTAGAAAATTTCAGCTCCTTGTTGACATAAACTCACAAATCCTTTCCACGCCTGAGTTAGTTATTACATATTATTTCTCTCTCGTTGCAATCCTGTCTTCTCAACCTGCAATCCTGCTGTTCATTTTTCTTAACGAGGTGGAGTACTTGTCTCCATTAAAACGCAGCTGCCACGTATCAGTCCAGTCAACTTTACTATCAAGATCACTTTGCAGTTAAACTTTATTTGACGCATCCTTAACTGTATTATAAACTTTTGTTTCGTCAGAATGCATGGAGCACGCGCTTGACGCAACTTCTGGCAGATAGAACGAATCAACGATTGTTTATAGAAGCAACGATCAAAACAGGCCCAAAAACGTTTACTTGTGGCACACCCACTGTGCATTGCAGCCCAGCCTGATAAAGTTCCGTTAATAGACAGATTGCCATCTACCAACTAGAAAATATCTGATCCACTGGAGCACTCTAGCCTCTATTTCCAAATACTTCACTCTACGAAGCAGCCGCTCATGCGTCTGGCAAAATTGAGGTACACTACATCCACTGACTCCCCATCGTCCAGCAGACGAGTCTAATAAATTGGTCAGAGTAGACAGACGGTTAGTGGTGCAGGATCTACCGGCAACGAAGCCATGTTGGCAGTTACTGGGGCTACTCCTATCACCTGTTTCTGAACAATGGTGCCACATGAGCTTTTTTTCAATCGGTAGGCTGAGTTCCTTCGTTCAAGCGTTTTTAAAGAAACGCTGCCAAAGGGCTGGCCAGGGCGGCTGCAAATTATTTGAACAATCTAGGGTGAAAGTCGTCTAGTTCACATGACTTGATCGGACTTCGAGCGACCGGGTGCTTGAAAACCTCTTCGTGTATTTCAAAACCTGTTAACCTTGAAAGTGGCCTGGAAGAAGGCGTTATAAGTGGCAGGCCTGAAGTTCCTAACGAGAACTTCTGCTGTGGTGTTCAGAAACCCGGATGTATAAATAACGTGGCACGCAGATGTGTAGCGCGTACAACTAAATTCGTAAACGCGTGTACAACTAGATTCCGTTTTGATGATAGGCTTGGTCATCCACGCGCCTGAGTGTAAACTGAGCTGCCACGACGGCTGTTGGAGTATTTTTTCTTAAAATCATACTAACTTCTTCGATCTATATAAATTGTTGATTTAGTTTGATCTGAGTTAGAAACATATATATACTTCGTGTTAACTTTCCTCGAAAAACGAATGATTTGTATTGGTTGATTGTAATTGCCGTGTCCCTTCAGTGTAATTTCGGAAATTAGATCATACAAATCAGAATTAGTAATTAAATTGGACTAATTTTAGGGCTTCCTAACTCTTTAGTTTAATCGCACCAAACTAGTGAGAATTTTCGAATCGTTTGGCTTGTACGTGTACTATCTAAGAAGACGTCATTCTCAGATTTTTTTCTAAACCGTACGTTTCACCCCAATGCATTATTTATTTCTGAAAAATTGTACAATGTTATCCTCGGGATGTTTCGCCGTTCGTGAATTGATGTATCTATATTAACTGTATTAAATTAACTGATGGCTGACAAATGGTTACGTTACAGCTGGAAATCGCATGAAATCTTAATAATACAGAAAATAATATCCTCGCCTAGCGAATAGTTTTAAAAACAAGATTGCGAAGTTTAAGGCAATAATAAACGGTTTCGCCTTCAATCTGGCGAACATCAAATAAGAGTAGTATTTTTCATCTTCTAAAGTGAGGAACTTCCATATTAATCTCATTTACCTAGGTAGGGGAATGACAGAGTATGAATTCGTGATAGCACAAGTCTTGATGCGAGAAGAAGAAAAGGTTGAGAGGTTTATCAGCGGCCACCGCCTGAGATAAATACCGTAATATGGGTTAAAAAAAGGTATCATCCCAGCTCACCATTAGACATGAAAATTCTCAAAAAGGCAGAGCTGGGCAGCGCTACTTTGTAATGTATCGGCCGCTACCACTACCGCTACATGCTCTAAATATAGTAGTGGGCGCTACCGCTACATTGCTTTAAATGTAGCGCCGCCACCGCTACCGCTACTGAAAATGTAGCGGCCGCTACATGTAGCGCGCTACTGCCAACCTCGGGTAACAACTAACATGTTGACACTAGTAACAGGCTGAGGTTGACAACATTACACCGAAATCACAGTTTTATTCTGTAATTTATATTGTGTATGTATCATGCTGGTTTTTAAATAATATTTAATACTATTAGGTAAAATCTAAAGTCTTTATCTATAAATGTAGCGGTAGCGCTGTAGCGGCAGCGCTGTAGCGGCAAAACCTCGTATCGCTACTTAAATATGTAGCGGGTGCTACCGCTACCGCAACATTGCTTTAAATATAGCGCCGCTACCGCTACATGTAGCGCGCTACAGCCAACCGCTGCAAAAAGGTCATATCTGCTTTCACCCTCTGACATTATAGCAAGGGTTACAAATGTGTTATCGATTCGACGCTGACCATTTGACATAAATAAAGGTTGAAAATATGATAATCATCTCTCACCATGTGACATGAAAAAGGTTTAACAAAGTGTAATTGACGTTCGCCATCGATCTGGCATGACCGGGGGTTAAAACTCAGCGTCTGACATATAGCGTCTGATAATACGGTTTTAAAAGTGTTATCGACGCTCAATACCTGGCAAGAAGAAGAGTTCCAAATTGTTATTTACACCTGCATTTAATATTAATAATCAGGATTAAAAGGGTGTAATCGACGCTCGCGAATTGATTTGTAGAATAAGTATTGAAGGAGCGTCGAGAAACCCATGCAAGGACTATATATAGACTCCGCCTCTGGCCTTTCTGATCAAGTTTGAATAATTAAGGGTTGAAGTTTACAGAGGTGACAGAGTAGCAAACCAACCCGTGAGGTTGTCTGAGTTACTACTTGACCTCAATGCATGATTCGCATGCTTTTCTTAGTACGTTTCCTGCTGAAGGGACACTTCTAGGACATTCGAGAAAAAATTGCCTATATGTCAATAAATAACATTGTTTAACGAATTAAGCACTGGTGCATATTGCAACTAGTCGTGGATAAAGTATACTCAGCAATATTTGTCAATAGTCCTTATTTAAGCAGATGAGGTGCTGGATAAATTTTGTATATAGATCTCGCTCCGTTGAAAATTAAAATGGATATGACAAATTCTACCAAGTATGTTGAACTGCTTAAGACATAGAAATACCTTTTCCCAAATCACAATGAATACCAGAATATCATAAAAATTAATTGGTCCAAATAACCGTCTTGACAAACGAATTTGGTGCGAATAAAATGAATTATTAAATAGAAGTACCACCTTTTACATACCAACAAAATAATACTTCTTTGTTTTCAGGTCAAAGATTCCCCTATACGTTCGTCTCCGGCCAGATATAGCACCGCAGAGGCCGTCGGTGGCAGCGGTGGCCTGAGAGTGGACGAGTTCTGTCAGATCAGTTCTAGATGCCCGCCGCCGCTATGAAGAAAAGCTACGACCACGAGCCCCGCCCTGTGAGTGGTGTGATTCATGCATTTCAAAGCGGTATTTATTTACGCTCATTTGATTGGCAGTGCAGTAATTATATTGATAAAAGCAAAATGCAAAAGTAAATTGCTACACGTAAGAATTTCAATGTGCGAGTATCTTGAGATGTTGAGGTTCGAAAATACTTTTAATTAATTATACATGATGGATAAGGAGTGAAAAACGAATGAGTGTACGACCACTAATGAATGATGACTTCACGAATGTTCCAATTTCAGCAGCCTTATTTACATATTCTGCTTGGGATGTCATTTTTCAAAGTAACGTGGCTCGACACATGCTGGTACTTTAGCGAATTTGGCCGCTTAAAAACCCACCCTAAAAGTAATCCCTTTTAACCACTCCATTCTCGTTTGCTTGAGGCTAAGTTATCCTGCTTCGGTCTTTTGCTGAAACAGCATCGTATTACGAGGTACTGTATAACAAGGTTATAAGACATCGTATTATTTAATCAGCGTATTACAAGGTCTGCCGTCTGGATCATACAAAGTCAAATATTAATGGTCTAATGACAACTTGGTTTTAAATATTCTGGTTTACTAATAATATTTCCGAGATTGAAACAAAAGATATATGCTTGACTTCGAGTTACCCTACGATAAATTCGATCGATCCACATTATGATCCGTCCGCATTTTTAAAGTATTACCTACGTAAGATGTTTAGTAAGCGTTCAAACAATTCGATTAGTAGATTAGGCACGGCACAGTTACCACAGACGCATTGTTTGGGTATTTGTTTTGTCATTAGGGAATAAAATAGTCGACATTGGACAAGTCTCACGAACATAGATCTGGGGATTTGTGCAGTGTATTTGTACATTGCATTTCATCTTCTCAAAGTTTCATTTATGACGCATCGCACTCAGATGTTCGTGGAGCTATGCGAGTTGAAGGAGTCGACCATGGGGCTGGAGTGGCGGCAGACTGCTCACTGGATCGTTATTTTATGTTCGTTATATTCAATGATCGTTATTCAATGTATTTATATGTACATTACTAACTCCCCGCACTCAGATGTTCGTGGAGCTATGCGAGCTGAAGGAGTCTAGCATGGGGCTGGAGTGGCGGCAGACGGCTCGCTGGATCGTTATTTTATGTTCGTTATATTCAATGATCGTTATTCAATGTATTTATACATTACTAACTCCCCGCACTCAGATGTTCGTGGAACTATGCGAGTTGAAGGAGTCTAGCATGGGGCTGGAGTGGCGGCAGACGGCTCGCTGGATCGTTATTCTATGTTCGTTATATTCAATGATCGTTATTCAATGTATTTATACATTACTAACTCCCCGCACTCAGATATTCGTGGAGTTATGCGAGTTGAAGGAGTCGACCATGGGGCTGGAGTGGCGGCAGACGGCTCGCTGGATCGTTATTCTATGTTCGTTATATTCAATGATCGTTATTCAATGTATTTATACTTTACTGACTCCCCGCACTCAGATGTTCGTGGAGTTATGCGAGTTGAAGGAGTCGACCATGGGGCTGGAGTGGCGGCAGACGGCTCGCTGGATCAAGTACGAGGAGAGCGTAGAGGGCGTACATAGCGACCGCTGGGGCAAGCCTCACGTCGCTTTCCTCAACTTCCACGCAATCTTCTCCCTCAGAAAGGCACTTGATAAAGGTGAGTCTACTTTCGACTTATGAACTTGAGACTCGTCTGGCTTATAAAACGATATCAGTCAATGTTTGATATCTTCTGAAAATGAGTATAAAATCATTAATTTATCGTTTTCTTTTCCTATTTCATGAAGGCGCGGTGATCTTTGACATGGAAGAGACAGATCTTGCAGAGATTGTAGACAGGATTGTGCAACACATGATTGCGAGCGAGCAAATTCCTGCTGACCAGAAGGAAGCCACCATCTCCACCTTGCTGGTCAGAGTACGGCACGTCAACGAAACGAGCTTTGCAGTGTCGAGGAGGGAGTCTCGCACCGCTTTGTGAGTTTTCGCACTCCGGCAATATGAGGAGTCCCTGTTTCGTGTGTTACGCACTTAAAACCCGATTGTCAAAATTCAACGAGCTCACAAAAATATTGCCCCTCACGACACTTTCTCAGCATTTGACAGACCCCGCAATAACAACAACTACCAAGATGAAACCCTACACAGCACGATATTCACCACTGTCACAAAAAGATTTACGCTAACGAACATTCGACAAAACATAGACCCCTACGTACAACTTACTGACGACCATTCCATCACTGACAGCAACACAACGCTTAAGGTATTCAATCACAACGTTCATAGCTGCAACAAAGACAGAGCAATTATTTATTCTGGTGCTGTTTAGGCAATCAAACGGCTTATTCCATACAAACTGCATGATAACTTTCACACAGTCATTGCACACACGAACAAAAATGACCGATTTACAAAAAAATGGGCAGGACTTAGTTCCACAGAATGATACAGACAACGAACATTTCGACACCGAACACATTCGTAAATTACTGGTCCGCGTGAACAACAACACACAAACTTGAGTCACTCATAAAATAATGGCTTTCTTACCCGACTCCACTCAGTAGACTTCTCACCCATAACCAATAGAGAACTACAGCTCCCACTAAATACAATTCAACAGGAAGCATTTGGTCCCACAGGCATCACAACCCCCCAATTCAAGCACATGCTTAATTAAAAACACAAGCAGGCAAGCTCATATACATAATAGCATCCATTTTTGAAAATTTACATGTGGGAGGTATTTAGAGAGCAAAACTTTCAACTACTTAGCCATACTCTTCGAAGTGGGACAAAAGTAATGAATAAACAATGAACAGTGTTCTTATTATCGCGTTCGGAAACAACCTCAGAATATTGATTAAACAACATTTTTTAATTTTAGTATATACCTATACCATCCTACTATAGTACTACTATACTACTTTCGAAGCTATGCCCTACGAAATTAAATTTTTACGGAGTACCTTTTCGCTAAATGGGTTTCCGTCGCAATTGGTATATACGCAGAATAAAAAAATTTCGTCTAAGCAATATTCTTAGGTCGTTTCCGAACGTGAAAATAGGAAAACTGTTTATTGTTCAATTTCTTACTTCGGTCCCGTTTCGGAGACTATGGCTGAGGATTTGAAAGTTTTCTTCTCTAAATACTAACCAAATGTAAATCTTTATATATTGCTGGTGAATATTTTTAAAATCAGTTCTTTTTTCAAGTATAAAGATATACTCCCTGTTCTATACGTTCGTCTCGTGTTTTTCAACATAGTTGTGCGCTGGGCGCATCTGCGTCTGTCGGTATGACATCACAAAATTTTTAGACAAGGCTGGCGGAGCATAAGGAAGGGTATTTAGAACAGGAAACCTGCTTGCGCATCCCCCTCATTCAGCAGTACGCATTCATGCTGCGCAGTGTAACGTCGCGGTGTCCGATAATTATTCTAGAATTTTGCCTCCACTACCGGTTTTTCTGACCTGCGAATTTTAGAGTCCCTGTATATTTTTAAACAAAAGCCTAGTCTGAATGTCGAAAATAGTTCATATCCCCGTTAAATTGTAAATAGACAAGAATTTGTCCGCTCATGTTTACCTAATTTTTTTTCATTCCACAATTTATTTTGTAATACAGGTATCTCCAATGTGGATCTTAGTTTACTTATTGTTTGTACTTGTGCTTTAAGATTTTAAACTAACGAAGATCTGGACTCTGAAACGTTTTCTCGCATAAGAAATGGTGAATTTTTTGGCTTTTTTCTTTGCTTTCAATTTCTTAGAATATATGCATTGCCAGTTCTTCGAGGCTTTTTCAACACGGTGCTATGGTAACACCGTTACCTATCCTTGCGCACATAGATGCTCAAGCATCACCTCTTCGCTAACCTTTTATTTTACAGTGACGCAGACGGAAACCTGATCACACTGTCGAGCGTCGTGGACTCAGGAACCCCCAACAGTTTCACCGGCCACCTAAGGTCCTCCATCAGGAGGTCCATCAAGAAAGCTCGCCCCGTAAGGCCATCAATTCTTTCCAATTAAAATGTCATGCATGCGTAAAATTCAAGCACTGCATTATTTACTAGTTCCATTAAATTATTTACAGATAAGGAGCGTCATTTCCAGTTGAATCTCGCGTCCACCTTATTATTTATATTCGTCATATGAATCACTCAATGGATGGTGCTATTATATAGTTAAATTTTTCTCTGTAAGGCTTAGATTCGGCATTGACAGTTTAAATTTTTCCATGAATTACTTACGTTCATTTCATTTTTTTTCGCGTAGGAACTAGCGGGGAGTCGGCGCCACAGTACCTTTGAGCACAGCCTGACGAAGGCACACACCGACGGAAAGTTCAGGAGCAGACTGCCCTCTTTGGCCAGGAAACACGACACTGTCGAGACATTCAACGTGAGTTCAAGACCTTATACTGAGGTACTTCACCATGGCATGACACTATATTTATAGCGGCAGCGTGTACATATTCGTTAGCAAACATCACTGATCGGCATGGCTAGGCAGCACTTCTCGTTAGCAACATTTGCCTATGCATTTCTAGTCAACAATTTAAATGGCTACATTTTCAAAAAGCCACTCACAACTCGTGCCACGAGAAATAAGACAATAAAAATAAGCGGCTAGAGAGAAAATGGGGCTCATAGTCGTTTTGCTCGAATGGGAAAAACGTTTTTCTAAGTATTGCCTATTTAGCTTTCCTGGAAGAAGAAATCCGTTCCTTTTCCTTGATTCCGTTCCTTTTCCTTCCGATTTTCCTTGATTTTTCGAAGAATCAACAAAGAAGTGAAACATTCTAGTTGATTCAAACATTCATTTGAATCAACATCCTTATGTCCGATTCAAATTCTTCTTTTTTACCGTTTTAGCAAGAAGATTCGATAAAATGGAGATAAAAATCAAAAATTATTCTAGATACAGTAGGAAATATCCGCATTATTCTTCGATGAAATCTGGTAACGAGCAATTTTGAGTGTAAACGGTGGATTTCAAACCAGAAGAATGTTTTTTTTTTGTTATTTAAAAAAGATGTGGGTACAATCTCCACTTTACCATCAGCAGTATTATCTCTTTCGTCGACTATCTTCATGGCTTGCACTCAATCCACTACATGTCGGCAATATAATTTTTCGTCAGTTCAACATATATACGAGGCATGTTAAAGGAGTAGAGAGTACCGTTTTGACATAGAAAAATGCTTCTTCAATAAATAATTTATTCACTTGAAAGTTCATACTTTACTATCTACATAATTCCATTAATATTGAGTCATTTATCGTACCTTGGGACAAGCTCTTGTATGCCGTAGTTAAACAAGCTTGCAGCTTGATTAGACAATTTCGTAAAGAACTCTTCTTGAGACAGCTGGAAGTTTTTCAGCAAAGGACGAAATCGTAAATCGACTATCCTCTTTCACTTTACACTTACAGCCTACTTTTTAAATCAGATCATCGGTAAAGACTGAAGGTCACCCACTTCGTACTAATCTACATTATGAACGTTGGTGCGGCCATCATTCAAGGCCCTAACCCATTTTCGCACCATTCCATCACTCAATGTTTTCACCATATACTGATTTGTTGATGAATTTCAACTGATTTGAAGCCCTGAGCACATGAAAACGCACGCATTTCGCAGTATATAGGCGGAATTCTCATGCGGTGGAGGCATTTTATAATCCCTTAAACAGATCCCTTAAACAGAAGTTTAAACTTTATGCGTAGATAAGCAAGAATTTTTGAATGTCGCCCATGCGGTGACGCTATTTTTTGGGCCAGGGCGGCCCAGTGGTTAAAGTTCAGAGTACCAGGATTGGAGCAGAGAGGCGCGGGTTCGATCCCAGCTCTGTGCGCCAGTTTCTGGTCAGAATCGGCAAGGAGGCCGGGCGGTTAAGCACAGCAGAATTGTAGCAGTGCGTTGCGAGTTCGAGACCTCAAAATGCTGTGAATGTTCTGCAATGTTAAGAATCGGCGACAGGCCTACGGCCTAATAAACGCTGAAACCGCTATTATGTAGATTCGATCGAATGGTTCTGTTGTGGTATCTGTGGTTTTCCATTGCACGGAGTTACGTGGCGCACATGCGCTAAACGGCGGCCGCAGCGTTGCGGCGGCGGTATTTAAAGACGGTACTTACTCTAAAAAACACACATTATATACCAAGACAAAATCAATAATCGATTCTTATAATATCTTTATGGTAATCTTCGATTTTTCAGTCATAAATACTCATTGCCTCGCACATAACGAAATACATTTATTATGAACGTTATCAGAAATTGAATGCCGAACCCGAAGCATTCCTTATTATTAACTTAAAAAGTAATTTTTATTGAGCGCTGCCACTTTAAGCAGAGCAAAATTCGAGCAGTGAGTGAGTCGCGTGCTCGTGACCGCAAAATGCTGTGATTGTATTGTGGTATTAAGAATCGACGACAGGCCTGCGGCCTGTCGCCGATTTTAAAAATCGGGTTTAAAATATTTTTACGCCAACTCTGATTCTGTTTTGAACAAAAAAGCGAAATTTTTTTGATGCAGGAGAACAAGTGCCCAGATATTATTTGTAAAACTGAAACGCTGCCAAAAAATCATTGCGCGAAGATTGTACCAGTTGAGCTTCAGTTGCCAGTTTATGATCATTTTCACAACTTTGGTGAAGAACAATGCAGCAGGTGAAGGGCTGGTTATGGGTCCAGGGCCGAATCATCGAAACATCGCTAAGTACGCGTAACGAGTTACGTGTTGCTAAGTGCTGTTATGAAGACGTCACTCTAGCGGTGTTATTATCAAAACATTCGCGCGGTAAGCTACGCACAAGAAGTTGTGCGTAACTTTACGCCTGCTTGGAGTGGAGCTACGCACAACTTTTGAATGGGTGAAGCGATTGGTAATCATTTAGTTAATAGTATCTAGACTCTAGTATGTACTAGTACTAGTGTAATAGTATTATTTTAAGGTAAATCCTCTAAGTTTTATTTAGAAAAATGTCCTTTTTTATATGTAAGGAATTATATTGGTCGCGATTCTGATACATTTTTCTCTGTACATGTCGATAGAAAACGAGTTTAGTTGGTGGAGCTAAACGATGAATAGATTAACCTCAAGACGGATTCGCAAAAATTTTACTCTCGTTGTTCATTATATCATATTGATCATTAAAATTTTTTTGCTATCTTGAAACGGCATTTGTCATTGATTTAATATAGTAAAAGCGTCTAGGATGTTTTAAATAGCCTAAAATGTTTAAATAACTGGACACAGAAGCGTGGCATTATATGACTCATAATGTAAACAAATGATGTAAGCGAGTATCTGATTGGCTAATGTGCAACGTGGTTTGCTAATACGCTCTAAGCTAAGTCTTGCGTACGCAACTACTAATACCGCCAAAATTGGGTGTACTCACGCAACACGTAACTTTTTGCGCAAGTATAAAAAGTTACGAAATTTTGATAATCCGGCATCTGGGTTAGAACTCTTTACGAGGCTCAGCAAGTAAAGCTGTCTAGTGAGCACCAATCAGCTAAAGAATAAGTGTGGTTCTAAAGAATCAGTGAGGTCCGTAAAATACAATGATAGCCTCCTTATGAGTCACGATCATTGAACAGTTCCACCGAAAATGATCGTTTCAAGCTGCCTCATACCAAACATGACTTTCCGTAGGTCATACTCGCTCATCATTGGTAATTTGAACCATCAAGTACGAGGCTGTACAGGTGGATCCTCTACAATTAAATCACAGAAATAACCCAGCATCCTTTTTCCTTTAGTCTGTGAGAGTTTTTTTTCAGTACAGAACGTTACCAAGCCAACATACGTATTATAGGGGTGAACAGAATCCCAATATTTTAGACCTAGTGTATACTAGTGATGAATCAATGTTAGACGAGCTCCGCAAAGAGGCTACGTTGGGCAATAGCCACCAACAATTGTTGTTTTCCACTATTAAATGTTGTACGGAAAAGACGCCCTCGGAAATGCGAGTGCTTGAACTTTGCATGAGGCGACTATGTTGCACTCCATGAAGCAGTGAGTGCTGTATCACTGATTGTACTGCATGAATGTGGCAGAGTCATGGTAATTCCTCAAGAACAAGGTAATGTTTGCAGTTCACGCATGTGTACTTAAGTGGATGAAATACCACAGTCATGAACATTACAATTATAGCTAAGTTAAAGACCAATAAAGAAGCCTACAAGCTTTATTTGCGGAATCGCATCGATGAAGATTGCAACTTATACACAAGAGCTCAAAATCATGCTAAAAAATCTGTGGCGCCGCTGTCGAAAACTTCGAAAAAAAATATTGCCAAAAATGAATAAAATAAACCGGAAGCCATTTTTGCAAGCTAACTCAAAATGTAAGACAACCGACGCTACCTCTGATTTGATAGTAGATCAATAAAACATACCTATCCTCTAATACGGGCAAGACTAACGTTGTTAATCAGTTCTTTTGCCGTGTGTTCACAAACGAGGACTTGAACAGTATGATTAAATAGGGATTTTCAAGGAATATATATATATATATATATATATAGAGAGAAGCGTTTCCTATCGTCTCATATCTTTTAAAGTTGGGTGAATCGGAGTGATCTACTCCACCAAATTTTCGTTACGTTCAGGTTCAAGATACCGGTATTCATTACTTATCGTTTTGTCAGGTAGTCTGCCGAGTGGCATTTGATTTGGCACGTGAATAAGGTTCTCTTTTTGGAAGCGTTACGGCAAAGAAAATACAAAAAGAGGGTTGTAATGAAACACTGATACATTTCATATTAAATTGAGAAATTCAAGTTCACATCCTACGTTAACAAACATCTCTAGTAGGTAAATAAAAAAAACGAGCTGAACATAATCAAAGTCCGAAATCTAACAGTTAAATCATCATCATCTAAACTCATCTAATTTTACCGGGGAAAAGCGTGTGATCCGTTGCAGTTCCGTTGAGCTGTACGACTGTTGTAAACGACCGTAAACTTGCGCACATATTTACGGCTGTACGTTCCGCGACCATACCGCGGCTGTCACCGTGCGTTGCAGCCGTTTTTCAAGTGGCCGTACTGCAGCTGTATCGCGCTTCTCTCTTCACAGTTGCTCTTTCTTCATGGCCGTATTTCTCGCGCTATAGTGATGTCTCGCGGCCGGTCTAACCGTGGAGTTTATGATGCCACATTCCTATAATGGAATTTCCCTCGCCAACGTTCGATGCTTCCCACGGTCTCGAAACAACCGCGCCGCATTCTTGGCATTCTTAACATCTATGCATAATACATGTTCAATATTACCTACTGTCAATATTACCTACTTTATTCAAGTATTCCAGCTATTGAGGAGAGCCCAATGTGTTTGAAGTTGACAAGTTTTGAATTACACGTCGAAGAGGTTCTCAAGCGCC